TGGCTGACAGATAGTTTAATCGTGTCATGAGGTCCCCATCGCAGCCATTACTAATTGGTTTAGCTTTAAAATCTAACTCAGTACAACATTCTAAATAGCTATATACAATCAGTTGTGACTGGCGCTTAAAATTGGTTCCTTTTGTTACCATACATTCTCTCTCTCCCTCATTCTCTCTTTCTCTCTGTTACGCACACACACACATACACACACACACACACACACATACTATGCTTGAGTATCATTTCATTTAGGGATCTCTTGGCTGGATACTCGTAGCTTGTTTGTATCAAGACAATCTTATGATATTCATTCTGCTATCATCCCATCTATATACAAGTAGAGTGATGCAGTTTGTAACATTGACTGGCTCTTTGCATAGTTCATGGATACTGAGGATTTTGCATCCTAAGGTAAAATTATTGACAAAATATAAGTATAAGGACTTGAAGTTCAAAGGAAGGTTGTGATTGGTTACTGAACTGATTACCTGTTATAGAAACTGAGTGCCAGAAGTTGAGATGAATGAAGTGGGAATATTAACAACATTAATAACGATGGTTACAGCTTCTATTTAATGAGTATTCATTATATGTCAGATGATGATATAGTACTTCCTAAAATGTGTTTTAATTCTCATAATATGTTGGTTTGAAAGTTTGGAAGCTTCCCAGGTAAAATCTAAAACTGGTCCTCGTAAATGGAGAAAAAGGAGAGACTGAAGAAAGAGGCAGACCACTCCAGATTGGCAGGTGACAGCTTTAGCAAGCAAGGGGACCTCTGAGACTTGTGTGGGGTGGTAGCAAGATAAGCAGATCTCTGCACCTACCCACCAGTATCTTAAAAGTTTATACAGAGGCCTCGACTGGGTTCAGTCTCGTATACCATCCAGATGGTCTCAACAATACATTTCTCTCTCAAGGCTGTATCCTTGAAAATGGCTCCAGCTATGGGAACAGTGGGCAGAAGGTATATTCCAAGGACAAGGGAGGGGGCGAAGAGCCTCTGATTGCCTGGGTCCAGCTTGTGGGTCAACCGGCTTCATGTCCTCTCTATGACTTCCTCCAACACAATAGTCCCACAAGGCAGATATTATTGGTCTTATTTTACAGATCATAAAACTAGGGCCTGGAAAGTTTAGGTAGCTCAACTGAAGTAACGCAGGTAATATATCACAAAACTAGGATGTCCGATGCCATTGCAGTTTACTGCCCCTACTGGAAAATAAGATGGATGGAAAAATCCTAGAAAAAGCATTAGTAGAATTATGGGGGAAGATTCATTTGGATGGAGTATAAGGAAGGGCTGTGGCAGTGTAATAATAAGGACAAGCTAAATTATGCTGCAATAAGGAGCAACCTGAAAATCTCAGGGTCTTAAAACTGCAGAATTTATTTCTCCCTTACACTACAAATTCACTGTGGGTGAGTTTAAAGTTCTGCTCCATATTGTTCTCACTGGGGCACCCAGATTGAAGGAATTCACGTTGACGGAAAAGCCACCATCCCACATCACCAGTGGCCTTAGCAGAAAGAGAGAGCAGTGAATTATCTGAAAGCTTCCAACCAGAAGTGACACTTGCTCTTTCTTTCTCATATTTAATGGGCCAAACCAAGTCACTAAATTCAAGGGTTGGAAAGTAGAACTTTACATGTGACCAGAAGGAGGACTGGAAACACTTGGTAGACATTACTCATAACTAACACATGCATCCTTTGCTTAATTGATAGATGCCAGCTACCAACAGGATAAAATCCAAGCACATTTATTTGTCTTAGAAAACCCTCTATGATGTGGCCTCTGACTATCTGCCATACCTCATCCCCTCAATTTCCCACAGGAATTCTACATTCCAATTATTTTCAAACAATAATTATGCTATGTCATAATGTCAAGCTATGTCATGCCCCATGCATTTGCACTGTGATGTACACTTTGCTTGGAATTTTCATTCCACCTGTGTCTGCTTGAAAAATCCCTGCTCTTCTTTCAGGGCCCAGTTCAGGGTTTCTCCGCCCTATAAACTTTTATCATCCCACTCCATCCCTGATCCACATGTGCCACAGCCTTACCTCTGTTCCATCCTCATTAAACAGTGTTACACTTAGTTGTTTATATATAATTCTCATCTATTGAACTGTAGTATCTCTGGATCATTGCTAGGACTCAATAAATAATATTTGGTTGAAGGAATAAAGTTATCTGCATTTTAATAGGGAATACTAAGATTTAGCAAAAACAATGCATCATTAAGTATTAAGCTATCACCAATAAACCAGGGAACGTTTGAAAAAGATGTAGGACAGCAGGGAACAGGCATATGGGCAGTAGGTTTTTATTCTTTACTGATAAAGCTAATATTTTTTCTAAGTAATCTTTTTTGTTTTTTTCAATGCAACTTGGTGATTTTTAAATTGGAGTGGAGGGTCACTCATATGTGAATCAGTTTGGGAGATTTTTTCAAACGACCCTTACCTCTTAGAGACTTCTCCTTGGAAAATCAGATGTCTCAAGTTTCCCCTAAAATGGTTTATTGAGAATTATTACTATGGTGAGCAATGCATTTGCTTATTTAGTAGCACTTACTTTCCATAGATACCCTGGAGATAAGTACCTAATTTGTCCCATTTGACAGAAAAGGGAACAGGTTCAGAGAAGTTAGTTAGCTTGCCCAAAATTACATGGCTGGCAAATGCCTTAAATGGGATTCAAATTCAAGATGTTTTGAGGATGAAGACATGCTATCAATAATGCCATTTATATAATAAATCTAGTAGACATAGCAAACAAATTTATCATTCTCATATATGATGTTCTAATAAATCACCCTACCCTGTGTTTTTCGGGAGTCTTCTCTTTATAATCTTTCTATCCACAGAGCACTGATAAATTATAAACTTCAGGCTTTCTCACTTACACAGGTGATAGTTTGGCACTCTCAAGTTTCCTGAAATTGTACTTCATAAACAGCAGCTGTTTTTGCCAAATTCTAGAGCCCCTGTTGGGCCTTGTGCTGCATAATGGTTACACATCCAGAAATCTCGTGACCATCCCACCTACCCCAGCTGGCACATAGGACTGGGTAGACTATGCCCTGAATTCTTTGGTACTTTCAACATTTAAAAGGAAAAAACAATGTATTTGTTTTCTAGGAACTTCTCCTCCCAAGAGTTTCCTAACATCACTATGGAACTGCCAGAGATTTCTAAAACACATTCTCATAAATAAACACATTTTGCCCCAGGCCAGATCTTCACAATTATTCCTTTATAGACTTGAATTATATTCCTCCATGCCAAAAGAACTTTTATCTGAAGGCTCATCTAATCTTTGAATCTAAGTCAGTTCCTGAAGTACCCATGAAGCATAGAACTAGGAACTTCATTCTACCACCCAACATAAAGTGGTTCTGTATTCCTGTACAGACATATTTTTATAGGAAAGTATTAAAAATGTCTTCAAAAATTATACTTAGAATAGAGATTTTACTTGTTTATTCCAGCCTTCAGTGATTTCTTGGGCTTAGAATTTGTGTGAAGGCCCCAAGCAAATGCAAATTGCTTGTTTCAACAAGAAAACCCAATGAGCATGCTTCACTGGGGCAAAACATTAATATGACTGCTCAGTACATTTTTTACCTTCCGGAGAAATTGGGGTGAGTAATTACTGAGGAAAGAATGCCCAGGTAGTTAGTTCTGCTGTCCTCGCAACCAAACAAACCACGCGACCTCGAAATTATTTCCCACAAATCATTTCATTCACGTTGGTTTTTAAGAGTCATTTCAACCCAACCTAATACTTATTCAAAGTCTAGGCTTAGACGGATAACCCAGTCTCAGACATTTTGCAAGTCATTACACAATGTTTATTCATGGACTAATTTGATCTCCTTTACAGAGATTAGTTGGTGATTTTGTGACTCTTTCTCAGTAATTCTTTTTCGTCCATTCATGCCTTCAAAGTGAGAATTTATTTTGTAACGTTTATAATTATTTTATCTCCAAGATGTTATTTTTTTAATCTTTGCCTGGTAGATGACAGGATAAGAATATGATATTTTCCACAATAATGTAAAGTAGGAGTCACAGCAGAAAGGGACATTTTAATAATAAATTATCAATGAAGGTTAAATTTCTTCAACTCCTGTGTATGGATTTACAACAGGATACAAAAGAAGAAAAGTACGCTTGAGGAAATATAGACTCACACTCATCAGAACTATTCAATTCACTTAGTGAGATTTTAAAAATGTGGAAAAGTATGAAAATGAAATGTTAAGGATATGAAATAAGTCTTTAATAATTATGTGATTTTGGAGTTGTACAGACCTTGGTTCAGATCCTGGCCCCGGAACTCATTAACCACACACTCTTGGGAACATTTCTGAATCTCAGTGATCTATATGTAATTCACGTATGAAACGAGAATATCAATATCTAAAATTCAAGGTTGTGGGAGGATTGATACAATTGAGTTGAGTTATGTAAATAAACCACTTAGCATAATACCTTGCACAATCTACATGTTAGTAAGCAATATTTTTGTTCTAATTCATGTCATCCTTTAGAAACAGGTGCTGAATGTGACAATTTACAGAAGTTTGCAAGTAAATGTTTGCATGTTTGGTATACACATCTCTATATGGAAAAAGAGAGACTGCAAGAGCAAGAATATGCCCCGGAAGGTAATAGCACATACATTCAGAAATTTGATGAGGTATCCAGTGTAGTCATAAATTTAATTTCAGAAAGAAAGTAAAACTCTTTGTAAGTAATATTACCATGCATCAGAAATCACATGAAATTCTTTTTGGCAAAACAGAAATTGGCTGGTAACTTACAAATGTTTCTGGCTACTGGATCTAAAATATCCAAATAAGCAGATACTTTATGAAGATACAATATCGGTGTTTCCACAGAGTTTCTACATTTCTGAGAACAGTCCTGCTGAGGAAGGTTGTCCGTGGCACTGGTTTGTCAGTTCTTGGCTTCTGCTGCGTTAAGTGATTGTTTTTGCAGGTGGAAGACCTTCTTGGAAAAGGAATAGAGGAAACCAAGCTTCCTTCATGGAAATGTGACCAGAACAATAAGTACTCTTATTAGGTGACCTTCACAGTTGGTAATCTCAGCTGTAGACTGGAACAATAATCCTGGATGTATTTCCTGATATCAGAATGAGTTTCTGAAGGCTGTTAAAGAAGCAGAAATAAATTGCCTGGTTTAGTATCTCTGTCTTAGAAAGCTCCTAAATGATCTAAGGCAAATCTTTGAAAATCCAGAAATCAGGAGATATTGCTTACAGCAGAATATATGTCAGGTATTACATTATTCAAAACATTTGGGAAATCTGCAACAAATTATGAGAAAGAAATTTTAATCAGAAAAATCATGATATTTATTTAATGTATCTCAAAAGTACATGAGAAAAATTATCCAATATCTTCATCTCATGCAAACCTGTAGAGAATGGTGTAAAAATAAGGATTTGCTTTGGAAAAAGACCTGGGTTCAAATCTGAGCTCTATCACTAAAGAACTATGCCACTTTAGGCAAATTACTTAACCTCTCTGAGTCTCAGTTTTCTTATAAGTATAAAGATAATAATCATACTTTGCAGATTCTTATGAGGATCAATTAAAAAAATAGATTTAGAAAACATAGCCGAGAACCTGATATATGGCACTAAACAAATGTTGGTTGCACATATCTCTAAATATCTATATCCTCAACATAAATTAGCAGTTATGTGAGATACATCATGTAGCATACTTCTGACCAGGGAAACAGCACTATATTATTCAAGTGATTCAAGAATTATCCATTATGTGAAGGCATTAATTAATCCTACCAACTCTTGAGGTTCAATCTTTACTATTTAGGAATTTTAAAAGGCAGTAATTAAATAGTTGGTAATTTGAAATGGGCCCTATTGGGAGTGTTTACACTGTGGAAATTGGGAGGCACTACAAATGAGGGTTTTTTTGTTTTTGCTTTTTTGACTGTTTTTGTCATAGATCTGGTTTACCAGCACACCACTGACTAAAAGAAAGGATAAAATGTGAGGGAAAGAGGAGTTGGTAGAAGCAAGTGAATTTTCCTTAATAACATATTGCAATTAATATTTGGAAATTTTTTCAAGAATATTTTTAATTGCCAGACTTCTTGGTTGATAACATGTATTCTTATTTTTGGTTCAGGGGCCTACCTCTCCCCAAGTGCTCTGTGGATCCTCTCTTCCGACCAACACACTGGCTCTTTGCTTTCACTTTTGTTCTTCTCCAGCAAGCGCCATTCAATTTACTATGCTGGTCTTTGTAAGAAAAAGTATTTCTATGTATTATGCTTCATTCTTTCATTTATTCAACAAGTAAACATTCTGTGCCAATCTTGTGCCAGGCCCTGGGGATGCTCAAGGTGCCTAACGTAACTGATATTGGGTCCTTTTTATATGAATGGAGCATTAATGATCTAACAATCCAATGAGGTTATCCCATTTTACAGAAAGGTAAATGGAGCCTCAGAGAGGTTTAAAACTTGCCCATAATTCAAGAGCTAGCAACTAGCAGTTAGAGTTAGAGCCAGGCAAAATGACTCCAGAGTCCATGTTCTTAATCTTGATCCTTATACAGCCCCTCTTTGAGATGGAGATGAGTTAAAAATTGGCAACAAATGAATGCAATAAACTGAAGTTTTGTAAGAGTCTTTGGAGATTAAATTTCCATTTCCCTTGTTTATCCTGGCCTTACTTGGCACTCCACAATGCATGCAGTGTTAAACTTTCCAGCACGTGCTTTGCAAAACAGCCAGGGGCTTCTTACCCCAGTGAGATCTCTGTTCTCTCTGTGAAACTTGGTCAGAAATGCTTTCCAATGATGTGTTGGGGGCAAGTTTCATAAACCATTCTATAAAAAGAATAACCAGCAATACTTTCCCACCAGGGACTCTATATGTAGGCCCTTAGAGTTTTCCTGTTTAACCATTTTAGGCCCATTATATCAGATAATATTGGCTCTTATTTAATATACACCTAGTTGCTAAAATATATAATGGTAACAAGTCTAAGAGTTCTGAATATTAGACTATGGCCTAAGGCACAGAGATAGCATTCACAATTCAACACACAGTAATGAGACCTGCGAGTTAGAGGCTATTTCTCAGAAGTAATCTATTCTCTATAGTGGTTTAGAGCTGGCTAGCTCATGAGAAATAATGAACACTTAATGAACTATGATGAAATCTTTATAACATGTCACTCAGAGGTAATATTTTCATGACTAAAGCCTTGGTGACCGTCTCAGGTGGAGATCCCCAGGAAGCAGACTGAGGTGAAGATTTAATGTGCAGGAAATTCATTCAGGGCCCTTGGAATTCATACCCATGGAATGGAGGGGAAGGAAGCAGGATCAGGCAAAGGGATAAGAGGAGCTGCTGTGTAATCAACAAAGGCTTCAGTCAATCCCCTGGGGAATTCTGGAGCTAGGATGGCTAGAGGCCCGGCCTTTAGTGGATTGGTTAGATGGTATTTGTTGGCCTGAGAAGGGAGAATGCCCATGAGGAAGGGAAGTGAGGCAAATCCTGAAGAAGCCATCTGCTGGCAGCACTCCCACAGCTGGAGTGATAAGTCTTTCATTCCTGAATGGGGTTCAGGTTGGGGCGTCATAGCACTCACTACAGAGACTAATACAGAATCCTAAAAAAGAAGAGTTAGAAACTAAAGATGACTTCTTTTTCCATCACCAACTCCAGAGGACGGGGTAATGTAAATATGGATGACCAAATGACCAACACCAGTAATTTAGACAGAATTATTCCCATGGTAGAGCAGGATGACAGACTAGTATCTAACAGCACTTTCACCCATATTTGTCTCCATAATCTGAGTTTATTATATTGAGTGACCTCCAGATTACAGTTCCTATTCCTAGCATTATTTCTCATAAACTTCATACTGATTTTTTTCCTACTTTTGTCCCTTCTGTCTGCCAGTTTAGCTCCCATTTCTGTTCTTGACTCCATGATCAGATTTGGCACTCAGCTTTATTTTCCAAGGAAGAAACATCAGTTCCCCTTTCAGTGTTCAAATAGCAAGCAGAAAAGAAAGTAGACATTTCTAAAACTGCTAAGGTGTAGATTAAGACATTACCAACAGAGAAACACGTAATTACAAATGACCGCTCCTTTCTACCAAATTCTTCGTGTGATTAAGTTCACCAGAAATGAGTTAACAGATTCCATCATAGAGAAGTGTTTAAACCAAGTTAGACGTATAATTTTTGTTTGGAATATATAAGATATTGCACTAGCAATTTTGTTGTATTATAACGCGCCTATATGACAGAATGAGTTTCTGGAAAGAAGAGTAATTATATTAAACAATGTAGTGTCTCATCATCAAACGCTTCAATAATTTTCATTATTTGTCAGTGCTGTAAGTAACATTTAATCTCATTATGTAAAAGTGTGTCTTTGGAATTTCCAAGTCAGAACAGTCATCATGCGATTGTTCAACAAATAATTGAGTACCAATTATGGGCCAGGCACTGTTCTTTGAGACTTGGGGGATAAAGAAGTGAACAAAACAAATATTCTGCTCTAATGAAGTTATAGTCTAGTGGTGGAAGGTAAGAAATAAAAACAAATAATTATGAACAGTACCAAAAAGAAAATAACCAAATAAATAAACAAACATATCAGCTATAAGACAGTGACTCACGCTTTGCACAGGACTTTTTTTTTCTCTGAGGAAGATTATCCCTGAGCAAACTACTGCCAGTCCTCCTCTTTTTGCTGAGGAAGCCTGGCCCTGAGCTAACATCCATGCCCATCTTCCTCTACTTTATATGTGGGACGCCTACCACAGCATGGCGTGCCAAGTGGTGCCTTGTCCACACCCGGGATCCAAACCGGCGAACCCTGGGCCGCTGAAAAGCAGAATGTGCGAACTTAACTGCTGCACCACTGGGCCGGCCCCTTTGCACTGGATTTAAATAGGCTGATATGATAGAGGTGGCTGCTCTAGACTGGGTAGCCTGAGAGCATTCTTTTGTGGAGTAATTCCTAAACTAATTGACAAGAAGGCATCAGCCCCTTGTGATCAGAGAGAGAGATTTCCAGGCATGGAGAACAAATACGAAGGCCTCAATGAAGGAATTTCTTTCAAAATTCAGAAAGGAAGTTAGTGTGGTTGGACCTTAGGTAACAAGGACTGGAGTGAGAAGCAGTGACGTGAGAGAATAAAGCAAGGTCGCATCACTGGGGGCTTTGTAAACCAGGATAGGCAGAAGAAAAGAAAAATGAGTAGAAGATAAAGCAAGAAAAAGAGTAAGTGGATGGAAGAAGGCAAGGAGAAAGGAGGAGGGGAAGAAGAAAAGACAAGATAGCAAATTTTTTGAGCAATTAAATTACTTCAGAAAACATAAAATCTTATTAAGGAGATAAACTGTTAATGTAAAAATAGAAAAAAAAAAAGACAATAAACAGAATTCTGAGAGAGAACTAGGCAGACTGGCTTGGAGTACTATTCCCCTTGACTGGGACATTCACAAGAGAGACCCATGACCAGAGCATGGATTTGGCTATATGTCTGAGAAGAGAAAGGCAGAAATCAGCCAAAGACACTAATCTTAAATCAAGTTACTAGAATTGTAAGATTTTGATTAAAATGGAGTTGTTTGTTTCTGGGAGGCTATAGTACAGAAACCAGATTGAGGCTAAACTCTGATTACAGGCCCAAGAAGAAGAAACAGATATACGGGTTCTGAAAGTGGCGGGTCTGAAATTCACAAAGAACAAAGGACACAAATAAAAACTGTAGAAACTCAGTAGAAAAAGAAACTACTTCAGATCAGCGGACAGAAGAAGCGATTTTCAGAGAAAGTGGATGCTGATTATGCCCAGACCAAGATGGGCTGTGTTTGAGAGGATGTGCCTCCCATCGAATGCTCTACAGGTCGTGCATCAGGGAATCAAGGGCAGTAGATAGTGTGTTGCCCAAGCTTAGCTGTGTGTGGCGTCTCAATTACTCTGAAACTCCCTTTGTGAAAGGAAGAAGTATATATTACTTTATTTTTCTTAATACTTCTATTCCTGAACAAACTACTCCTGGAAATTATGCTTTCTAGTCATCATTCACATGCATATATTTAGAAATCTTAAATATAATAAAGTTATTCACATAAGCCAGAGCCATCAAACTAGAATGTATTGTCATAGTGGACATGTCATGATTAATATCCAGTATTGTGCACTATTAAAGGGAAGGGGGCACTTTAGCAAAGTCTCATAGAAGTTAAAAGCAAACATTTTATGTAATAGAAGAGATTTGATTGAGAGCTTGCTTATTCTCTGCATCTACAGCACAAGCTACTAATGAAGTAATTGTTAGAGTCACAAAACCTATTACCTTCATTGAGCTGAGATTCATTATTCAACTCTGGCAATATGTGAAAATACTCACTTTTCTCACTGATTATTTTCATCTGTTAATCGTCTTTGGAATTGTGCTGTCTGGTTAGGCAGCTTGGTGCTTTAGACAGACTACTTGATTAGGAATCAAAACACCTGAATATAAGCCACAATTCTGGTACTTTTTTGACAGTGGAAAAAACAATGATTTCCGTGAAGGCAAAAACCATATCTGTTTTAGGAACAGTCAGTTCTCAATGCCCAGCAAGGACACGGACAATTGAAGCTGCACAATAAGTATTTGTGGTATGAATAAGTGAACGAATGGAGGAAATCACTGAAAGTTCTCAGCTTGCTCATTGAAACCTGGCAGTGAGATATGTGTTCTGTCTACTTTGATATGTAATTAGAAGTTCCTGGAAAATTATAACTCACATGCAGGAAAATTATGTTTATTATAAATGGTGGTAAAATTCCAATTTGAGCCTCTTGATGCACAGAATATTGATTGACTTCACAGTGGCTCTCTGTAAGCCTCTTAATTGATTTTTCAGCTTAAAGGAAAAAAAGCAGAGGTAACATTTTGAAAGGACTAACTTAAAAGCCATCATTGTTTTTGCTCCATTATAATGTTATTGGAACAGAGAAAGGACACAGATGATTTAAATGGTACATAATCCAACAGCCATACGTACTTGGCATTGATACGTGTTTTTGTACTTTTATTTGAGTAAAGGGGTGTCTGGTGTTCTGGTAACTGAACTAAAACAAAATAATGAAGTCACAGTGACAATATCTGGCTCAGGATTTCCTCATCTAAGGTTCCTCCATTTAAGGTCCCTGCACCTTAATGGGTACAGAGTGACATTGCTCTGGATCTGTGTCACCCTTTTTCTCCCCTGAATGAAGAAACCCATTTATTTAACAGAAGTCAATGGAATACTTACTGGGTGACTGATACAGGAGAGAAATATGAATGAGTTCAACACAGTTGAATGGGAGAAATAGACACAGGCAATATCCACATTACGATGTAATAGCAATTAAATTAGAGCCCCTTACTATCTCCCCAGAGATAACTTTGCCTCCAGTGACATAGGGAATGGGAAGCTATGAGGTGGGAAAGCATTGTCTGCTCTTTTTTTCAACTTGTTGTCTAACTGGAGAGTTTCAACTGCTTTTCTTTAGAATACTTAAGTAATGGAAAATAAAAATGAAATAATAACAGAAATCTCCTTCCAATTGCCTTTAGGTTTGAGGAATGTAGTTAGGTGAAACTGTTCGTCATCAGGATGATTTTGACATTGACTATATTTTGGCTCTGTAATACGGCTCCTGACTTTTTCAGTGCTTGGCCCTGACAAGTTTCTGGTTCAGTAGTGGGGATGGCTGCCAAAGACCCGGCACAAGGCAATAGAAAACCTCAGGGGATTGAGAACTTATGGTGTACTAAATTTAATTTGACAGCATTCAGAATAGACCAAAGTCATTAACTGTAAATATATATTACCAGGCAATTTAGACCTATCTACCTAGTTCACACACTCAGTCTACTGGATTTTCCAGGTAACAGTTAGTTACATTAACCACCCAGCTCTAGTTAAATCTGCATCAACATCTGGGGTGGTCTAACTACTTAGCAAACCTGAAAAGACAACTCTCATAAATCTTGGAAAGTTCCTTTCTAACAGATACAGAATCCTAGTAGTAACTTCTCTGCTTTAGTAAAGAAAAAATTCTTGTTATCTTAACTATTGTTTTTGTCCCTGTGTTTTCTTTGGGTAGATAATAAATGGTATAATTGTTTTAGTTTCAATGAGCCATGCAATTTCTAAGGTCTCATCCTCCTAAGAAAGATAAATTCATTGAAGGGCAGTCACTTTGTTTTCCTGCATGATGAGGCTACCATTAGTTGTTTAAGATTAAATTACCCAAAGAACTCTTCCACAATGGAAATTAACCCACAATACATTATCGCAACACCTGTGATCTTGGACTGTCTATTAGAGTGGGGTCAATATTAACAGAGAAAAACAAGACAGATACAAAACTTACTTTATGGAGAAAACTTAAATAACAATAGTGTGCAGATAATAATAAATTGTATTTTGCATGCTAAAATCATATTTAAAACACAAAACATTCACTCACCAGTATTTTTAAAAATGTAAGCCATCATGCTTACATTTATTGATGTATGCATTTATTATGCATACATCATACATCATTTCATATTTATTAAATTATTTATTGCAAGCAACATGATCAGATGGGGACATGTATGTCATAGACTCAAGAAATTAAGCAATTTTTTTAGGATTTAATTACATAGGTAGAAGGAGATAAATGGATGTTTTCAAGGCTGAACTTAAATGAAATTAGCTCATATTTACTCAGTCCAGCCTTGAAGATCCAAAGAATCTTTATTGTACCTAACTAGGTTTTCTAATTTTTGTCTTTTAGACCTATGCCTTCTGTCTAATAATTCTGTATTTTACTGTTGAAATTTAAAAAATCACCCATTAATCTTTGAATGAAGGCTTTCAAAGTTACTGCATTAGAGTTTTCATTTTAAGGATGATAAAAGAGGCAGAATTATTCTAGAAGATTTAGTCATAACCAAAGCAGAAGTCAGGAATGATCACAGGGAAACATTTCTCTGAGGATAATTTAATTGCATTACTAAAAGTGTGGGAATCCATACACCACCAAGACGATTAGGAAAGTGGTTATTAACTAAGCCATTGTCTGAAACCCACTGAATCACCAGTCCCTTTGAAAAGTGATTGGTCTTGCTTTTCCAAAGATGGGTTTTAAAATTTAAGAGACGCTCCAAGCAGCAGAGCTAAAAGATAAAAAGAACACAGACCTTGCATGGGTCTAGATTTCTCTTCATAGTCAAAGGAGTGAGGTAAGATATCAAATCTTTGCTTTCATAATTTTAAGAACCAAAATTAGTCGACTCTGCAGGATCAACTGTCAACATCACCCTAAATGTAGATCAGTGAGTTGAACTAAAGCAGGAGTTTTCACATCTGAGGACAAGAGATTATATACTTTCATGGGTTGCACTATAAAACAATATTACAGTTTAATTTTATAATCTTTTCCCCTGATTTAGAAAAATATCAACTTAGTTGCTTAGTTTTACTACATATTAAAGTTATTAGACTTTTAAATGGAAATTATCTGGTTGGATAAATAGGAAAGCTCTGTTGTCATCAGATCTTTACTGTAGTATTTTCACTACTACATTAAGTAGACATTACATTTGTTTTCATAATAAGGACCTAGTTCACTGACTCCAGTCCTGGGTCTCTCATGGTCCGGAGGACCCACTCCCTTGCGTGGAGAACAGCACAAGGGTTGAGGCCATCTTGTTCATTAACTCATTCAACTACATCATTACTGCAAGTGACTCATTTGGACAAGCAAACAATTTTGGTTTTTATAAACAACTGCTCTGAGAAAAAATAAGTTCTGTTATAGATATTTATAAATCTATATTTTTTATTTTGAATCTTAATATATAAGTAAATACTATAGAATTCACTCAACTACTCTTCTGATTGAGCAATACCAACTAATTATTCTTATTATGATTGTTACCTAGAAAGTCGTTTTAATGCTAACTTTCACAACTTATTTTCTAGATATTTCATCTGAAAATGAGAACTATAATTCTTCTTGTGCTGCTGGGAGCCACAATGTCAGCCCCGGTAAGTGATTTCGTGGTACAACTGAAATCATTGTGTAAAACCTTTAAGAAATCCTTCTTTTACCATTCTTGTTTTTGTTTGTTTGTTTTAGCTTATCCCACAGCGCCTTCTGTCCGCAAGCAACAGCAACGAGGTTGGTTTAAATACTTAAAACAATCTCCTGTGTTTTGGTTTTTTAACGTAAACTCTGTGGGGAACAGATAAAAGCCTTCCATTGATTTATCCTGCAGCCTATCACTAGGTCTCCCATCCGAATACATTCCCAACGCTCATGTTTGTTTTGTATACCAGGTGATTTCTAGAATATTATTTTGCCTCCCTTGTTTGATTATAAATTCTTTAAAGGCAGACACAGCATCCTGCATTTTTTTGTTGTTGTTCTAAAAGCATCTAATACAAGTGTATATAGGGGTTTAAGAGCATCAAATGACTAACTAAATGCCTGGAATGAGCTCAAGTTGTGCAATCTCAGACTCAGCAAGGGAGAGGCAGTTAAACCCCAGCCTCTAACCACTGGACTTTTGTACAAGCTCAGTGAGAAAACAGCTCACCTCTGACAGGAAACTATGATCAGTCAGCTCTGACTTGTGCTATTTGTACTAAACATTGTTCTTAATAGTTTTAGCATGTGTAGTAACCTTGTTTTCATGTTATCTTTCCTTTTCTAGCTACTTCTGAATCTTAATAATGCTCACCTTCAGCCTCTACAGCTTCAGGTACCTCTATTTCAATAATCATTTGAAGAATATTCCTCTACTGCTCGTTTCTTATGGTTTTGTATGAAAACAAAATGTTTTGATTCCATTTCTAAAAACTTCAATTTTTAAAATTATGAATTTGTTCTATGTGTTCTAACAACCATTTGTTTGAAGGTTAAAGTTAAAACTGTTGTCTGATTAACATTTATTTATTGAGAACTTGGTCTATACCAGGCACAAATTCTCACAACTATGAGCTAGTTAAATTAACTTTTTTATACAAAGTCATACTCAGCTAACTGGTTAAAAAAAAATGAAACCAGTTTGGCAACTGCAGAAACTGTATTCTTTATCCACCTCATTCTGCCCCATTTTTCTCGCGACCATAGGGAATTCAGCACAGCTCGTACTATTTGCACAGCTCATAGCATGCCAAGATGCTGTCCTTTTTTATAAAGCAAGAATGGAAATATAGAAATTATCTACATTTTGTCTCCTTCTTGCTCAGGACTGATTTAAAATGAAAGAGAAATGCTTCCTTTCTTTCATGTCCTTCCAGGGCCCATTTAATTCATGGATTCCTCCTTTCTCTGGAATTTTACAACAGCAGGCGCAGGCTCAAATTCCAGGACTCTCCCAATTCTCTTTATCAACCCTAGACCGGTTTGCTGGACTGTTCCCAAATCAGATACTTTTCCCAGCCCAAGGCACCCAGGTGAGACAGCTGGACCCGTCACAGCCTCAAACACCACCACAGACGCAGCAAGGCCCTAATCAAGTAAGTCGGGCCTCTTCCGTCTTGTTGTTCTGAGGAGAGATAATGTGTGTTGAATGTGAAAATGCATATGTATCAGCTTTGAAAAAAGACAGGAGTTATTGAGCAAGAATTCTTTCTCACAGTGTGTTTCTACCATCACTGGAAGTACTTTATTTTTTGATTTCTAACATGAAAAATGCCATTTAAATCAGCCATTCTAGGATCACAGCCACAAATCAAGTGTTAAAACGTTTCTTGGAAAAGGTAATTAGGAAAATTTTATCTTAAAAAAAGGCAATTTGCATTAATGATGATGCATATAATAGATGACCTTTTGTTGTCATAGAAGTCTGCTAATGCAAATTATAAGTTTACATGGCTAGGTCCAAGGAAAACAGCTCTGGAGTCAAGTATAACTTTCTATGATGCCTTTTTTTGGCAGGTTATGCCCTATGTGTTCTTCAAAATGCCTCAAGAGCAAGCACAGGTAAGTGAATAGAATACCATCACTCCTAGACAGAGATGGCTACATACACACTCCATTGAATGCTTTCTTTTATATTTGTACTTCTAACTCCTATATCAAGGCTATAAGAACCCCAAAAGCAACATCACTGTCTGGACACCACCACTGCTGGGCTGACATCAGTTTGTTAGGGCCACTTAATAACTCCTGAAGAAAGGCCAGCTGAGGAGAGTTCCCAGGACCCCTGAGTTTCCAGGCCATTACTGTACTGGGAATAAAGGAGCTTAGTAAGCAGTGGGTCACATCCTCTCCATATTTCAAGTGTTGGCATTTGAAAACAACTCAAGAGAAATACCATGGGCTGACTTTGCCCAACCTTAAATTTTGTTTCAGAGGGAGAAGCATTAAACTGACAAAATATGATATGTAATGATAAGAAACTCTTGCCCACATTATTTGGCAGTTAACGAAATTTTGTTCTAAACATTTCCAAGTTCTTATATATTTTCAATTTAATTCCATATTACAATCAAATGGTTGTAATTTCCATTAAATGAGAGAATCTTAAAAAAATGAATGTATACTAGTATAATTATATGAGTAATATAGAGAACTCTCTCAAGATTAGGCTAATTAATTTTATAATATCCTGGGTTCAAAGAAATAAGGATATAGATAAATTATATTATTCACCAACAGATTATTGACCATTTCACAAAAAGTTATGCCACTAGGCTATACTATAATTATAATTATATAATTTTGTCCTACCCCCATTACAAAGCAAAAGCTCCTTCTAGACATTATCTCATTCTATGCCATAGCATTTAGAGGGTTAGACACATGACGAGTGGAATTACTTCATTTTAAGGATCAGGAGCTAAGTCTTAATGAGAGTAAATTCCCAATCCTAATGAAAGTAAATCGCTGAGTTGGAATATAATTCTTCACCCTTCCTTTAACCACTAAACCAGTGGTTCTCCACCTTGGCTTTGCATTAGGATCTCTGGTGGTAATTTTGAAGATTACAAATGTCTGGGCCCCCTGCCCACACTTAATCAGTCAAAACCCCATGAGTAGATCCCAACTACGATTGTCTGCTAAAAGGCTCAATAGGTAATTTTGATTCCTAGCCAGGATTAAGAACCATTGCACGAAATATACTTCTTCTCAAAGCATAGTTGATGTTTTTTTAATTCTTCTGTCTAATATAGGCTCTTATTTAATTATGCAAGGAAACAAAACAGCATACAAAACTCTATGTAAGTGCTATGATCCCCATTTTCTGTAGACACACAAAGATGTAAGTGAAAGCCAATGCATGATAATGTGAGTGATGAAGTAGCAGGTGATTTTATTTGCTCTTTGCCTACTTTTGGATTTTCCAAGTATTCTAAAATGGATATGAGTTGTTTTAATAAAATGGCAATAATTAAAGGCAATACATTCTTGACAATTCATTTATTACGATAGAACTGCTAACACAACATCCTGCAGAATGCTGATTCTCAAAAAAATATAGGGAAAATGTTTCAGAGGCTAGTCTTTTCTTAGATATTCAGGAAGTAATTTGTATATAAAGCCTGAATATAAGGTCTAAAATTTGTATATAAAGTCTAAGGTGCCGTTTTAAAAAAGCCTTTTATTTAGTTGAACCCACTGCTTCCTGAATGTGTTTGACCAAGCAACTCTGAAATAAAGTCCCATATCATGTGCTGTATAAGTTGCTCCTAAAGTTTGGGAAGGACTGCTTTATGCATTCTTTTGTTCATAAAATTGCTAGATATAAATCAGCTTTAAAATAATATTAACATTAGAAGTTTTTTTTTTTTTAAAAAAAAAAGAAAAGCCTACATTGATCTTAAGGAAGCTCTTACACAATTTTCTGTTTACAAATAGATGCTTCAATACTATCCAGTTTACGTGCTTCTGCCCTGGGAACAAGCTCAGCAGACAGTCGTGCAGTCGCCTCCACAAATAGGACAGCAGCTATTCGAGGAGCAGGTACTGCAAGTGTTTGACTTTAATCTGACTAGTTCCATCTGGGAACAGAGAAGATACAGTAAATTTTCAGAGAAGAGAATACATTAGTATGTTTAGTGCAGAAAGTCAACAGCTTGAAGTGGTGATCGTGAAAGGATAAAGTGCTTTCTCCTAACGTATCACTAGTTTGGAATTGCTTCTAAGCTGGATTTTAAAAGAATGAAGTCAGTGAGTGGACTACAATAAAATCAGAAGCTAAAAGCTGAATCATCTTGGAAAATAAAGTTTTCTAACTTTTAAAAATCTACCAGCTTCCCTCTTATCATATATACATGTGGTTATTATTTAAAAAGTAAATAAAAATAAATACGATGATGAAAGTTACCTATAATCACTAGATCTTGAGATACAATTAGATATTATATTGAGTTTTGTAGACTTGCAACAAATTTTTAGAATTCTAATGTAAATTCAGGTGGCTCATACATAACTAGATTTCTTTTAGTTAGAATGGAAAAAAAATTTAATAGTTTATTGCCACTTTAAAATTTGCCAAATCAAATGAGAGAAAACTGAAAATTTTGCTTTAAATGACTGCTAGTAGCCATTCCAATTAAGTCATGTTAATTTCGAGAGAGAGAGAGAGAGAGTTTTAACCTAGAAATCATATGGTGTTAAAAAGATGCTTGGTTTGGTAATTTAACAACAATTTTTACCACTTAGAGCACATGAACATTCAAAAACCCATTTAGTATAACATAAAAATATATATAATTTTAAGTAATCATTCATCATAAAATTGTGACAAAAATCATCAGAGCAAATCTAATGTGTTTTTCAAAAATCTGACAGATGCCATTCTATACTCAATTTGGATATATTCCACAACAAGCAGAACCCGTAAGTAAATGCATACTTTTCATTAAAAAATAAAAACTAATTTTTGAAACTACTTGCTTCATAACCTATTAATCTACCAGTGCCCTTTAGCCAAAACCTACCAGGAACACACCCCTAGTTGAACAAAGTTGAATTTATCCACTCATTGCAACAACGGAGCACACACACCATGGGGAACTGTGGAGTGTCTTAATAGGAAGATACTGAAATGACTTCTCTAAGAGTCTCGGCTTGTGTCAGGTGATTTTGGGGAGAGTTCAAGGAGTGATGGTTCACTCTGGATTGAGTGTCCTCAAGAAGTGGTGAGTAGTTCCATGACTGTGTAACTTAACATTTCTTACCTAGAAGGTAAGAACAGTGGAGGGAGGCAAGGGCTGTGATTGGTAAAGAAGCAAGAGTTACTCAGATTGGCCATGGTATGAGGATGCCCAGTATTTTCATGGCTTGCACAGCAACCTCGTTGTAGACAAGATTACAGAGTGGTCTTGTTTTTGTCGCACTTCATAGTGTTCACAGGCAACTTTGTCTAATGTTGGTTTTCTGTAGGTAGAACTGTTAATGTTCAGCAGAACACCAGGGCCTAGCAGAGACTGTAAGGCAAGCTCCTGACATCACTGAAGGAGGGCTGTTGTGTCAGGCCAGTTTCCTGATGTCAGGAGTTACTTTTCTCTTTCTCAAATCTAAATCATTACTTTTGTTTTTAAGACACTAATATAGGAAGCTGGGAAGTGTTTAACTATCTTGGGTGCAAAATAATATATTTTACAGATTAATAATTTAGACGTTTTTAAACTTTCCAATTTTTCAGGTTATACCAGGTGGACAGCAGCAACTGGCCTTTGATCCCTTCTTCATAGGCACAGCTCCTGAAGTTGCTGTGATGGTAAGATTCCTTATCATACTTTGTTAGCTACCAGAAACCAGCAACTGACAACCTTCAGGTTCCTGCACTATTGTTCATTTTAAAGAAAACTTTATTATTATTATTCTATCAACAGTTACTACCTTTTCCCCCTGTAACCCTTCACCAATCAAGATTCAATTTACTCAGCTCATCAAATATTTACTGAGGGAACAGTATATGCCAGATACTCTTCCTAGTCCATTCATTTAAAGGCAGGTACAAGAGATATCCATGTTGGCTGGTATATATGTATAGTCTTTCTAAAACAATGATTATAATCTACAAAGTTAATAAAGGTATTTACTTCTTAAATAAATTCCTTGCCTTGCATCTCAATTCTGTTGCTTGATATTCTTCCCAGTTTTGACCTTGTGCTTAAACCTGTAACCACTTTGTTTTCTTTCTCATTCTCTATAGCCAGCAGGGGGAGTGATACCAAATTTACAAAAAGAAATGATAAACTTTAAGCATGTCAGTGCAGGAATTCTCACTCCTTCAACTTCACAACAAAAACCCAGCACAACAAATTCTTTCGCTTCTGCTATAGACCCAACTATCACCCCAGAGTTCATGGAAAAGCAGGTAGAGTAATCGAAGATTCACTTCATGCAGGAAATTGATGGCTAATAGAAAATATAAAGTTAGTGCTTAATTTATTGGACTTGGTCATGGAAATAACGAGAGACTTAATGATATAATAGAATGTCCTTTTCTCACTAGGCCAAGACTGGTAGCCTAAAGGAACCGTAAGATGTTGTCCTAATCATTCAGAGTTTTTGGTAGGTATTTGCCAAGAGGCATGCATTAAGTACCATGACATACCATAAATTAAAAGAAAAAAAAAACTTTCAGGGGAAATAATGAAGAAGTCTTATTAAAAGGAAAACAACGAGTTAGTGCTTATATATCCCTACAAAGCAAATAATAATTATGAGACTCTAGCAATTTTTAAGAAATAAAAGTAAATTTTTGACAATCATGTCAGCCTAGGCCATAAAATTGGTGTACATCTGAAAACAAAAATGGTAAATATACTAGGTCCATATAAAAGACATTTTACAGACACTACATACAGAGTCACTTCTCCCAAATCACTGCTTCACTTTGCACGCTAGAAGTCGTAATGCCGAAAGATCTGTATTTAGATTGGAATGAAATAAAGTCTCAAAGTGATACAAAAAATTGCACAATGACATGGAAATTTAAAATTCCATGGCCTTTATATCAAACAAAACCTTGATTAATTAGCTGTCCTATTGAGCTTGGTTGGCTGTGAGGCCAGGGTCGGCGTTTGATAGGCCCACTGGGATGGCTCCAAGAAGTAAAAAATACACATTAAAAAACAAATAATTTGACTTGAAAGGAAAACTAAAAGAAACGTTTTTGACATCTCCTCTCTGCTGCCTCTGAGTCTCTTCTGATTCCTTCTTCTGTGAAAATGAGTACTTAGGATTCTCCAATGAAAAAAATTCTCTAAAAATACAAGTAGAAGTGAATACAATGAGCAGCTCTTTAGAAAAGTCCCTCCTATAATGTAACGTTTTGTATAATGCAAGTCAATATAAGTTATTTAACAGAAATACCAAAGGGATTTCAGTCTGGTATGACCTCATACCTTATGGCATCAATGCCAGCAGAATTAAAGTTTTCTATTTCTTTATTAAGCAATTTAGAAAATATCTAGGAAATTTTAAACAAACAGTCTAATCGTATTAAAATACTCTTCTATCTTATTTTTCAGAGGACAGGATGTGGCGGTGCCTTGGACATCATTTTAGGCTATTTGCTTCCACAATGTTAGTATCAGTCATCTGAAATATACAAAATTTCTTAGCTCTTCTCTTGAATTTCTTTTTACTTATAGTTTTACACTCTTTAACAGGTTATAGAAAAATAATACAACCATTTAATAAGTCCTGTCTTTACAAAATTATATTGCTTTTCAAATATTCTATCATTGCATAATCTGGAAAGTAACAGCAATGAGAATAAAGCTAACATCACTGAATCAATTGGATAATTGAATTAATAAAGGATGGCTCTGGAAAATAATGTCATTCATGAGAATAAAGATATACTGTCATTGGAGTTGTGAGTTTGGTGATTGGGACTGATGAACCAAAGTCTATACCTAATGACATCATCATTTCCCCCAGGCCCACTCAGCTCGGTTCCTTCTGAGGTATTCCCTAGTAGAGTCATAATTATTGGTGTCAGATATCACAAAGTGCATGCTCCCAATATGACACAGCTATTTAGAGAGATGGCTCTCTTCATCCCAAAAGGTAGATCCCCAGGAAGATGTTTGATGGTCTGAGGAGGCAATATCCTATTCAGAATGAGGCATCGATTTTGGATTTTATCAGATCTGGTTTTCAAATTGGTTTTGAACCTTCAGCAAATTACTTAACCTGTCTGAGTCTCAGTCACCTCAAATGTAAAACAGAGACAACAATACCTACCTTTTAGAATTTCTTGAAAGGACTACTTGAAATAACGCATGTAAGCTACCCAGCTCATATAAAGTACTCAGAAAATGTTAATTTTCCCCCTTTCACTTGTAACTACGGACCTTCAGCTGAAATTCTGAGAAAATAGGAAAATTCACATTCAATACATTTTACATACAATATATTCGTATGTAGATGTGTGTTGACATGTGTGTATGAAAGAAAAAGTAAATGAGTGGGTGAATAAATGAATATGTATTAGGTGGTGTGAAATTAATTTGGTTAGTATTCCAGGCTTTAAAGTTGATCAACGTTCCTAGAATCTTACTTTTTCCAGCATTTAGTAACTTTACAACTCTGGAATTACCTTATGGAAGAATAACACAATAATCACCTATTCTACTTTCATTTTATACTGTATCCTTTTCACCTAAATTGATGAGTTGAATGAATATAATCCTGCGAAATTGACTGACCTTTTAATCTTGGATATAACATAGAGAGTCAAACACCAAGATTTCTGATAAAACACAGGTATTCAGCACTTAAGAACATTGTGTCGGGGTGAGCCCAATGGCGTAGCGGTTAAGTTCACATGCTCTGCTTCAGCGGCCTAGGGTTCACCAATTCAGATCCCAGGTGCATGAAGCCATGCTGTGGCAGGCATCTCACGTGTAAAATAGAGGAAGATGGGCATGGATGTTAGCTCAGGGCCAATCTCCCTCAGCAATAACAACAACAACAGAAAGAACATGTGTCCCCAAATTCTAAGAGTTCACCAGGTCATTGAAAAAATTACAAGTAATTCACGCTGAGTGTTTAGAATACATTCTAGAACTTAGCAAGTGTTCAACTTTTCTCTTGACGGAGGAAGAGAAAGAGAGTGGTCAGAGACTAAAGAGGAGAGATGAGCACAACATAGTTATTCTGTCCCAAGGTTCAATGGAGGGAAAAGCAGAACTCAGGGAAAATTGAGAAAAAAACCCAAGCATTAAGCTATAATCAAGTCAAGAGTTTGGCAATATTAGGGGATATAATAAAAAATACTTTGAAAAACATGGGGATTATACAAATACACTATTAATATATAAAAGCATAAAATGGGTATTACATAAATAAAAGAATGCAATGATAAACATTGAGAAGTGACTTGAAGAATTAAATATTTTGTTGAAAACCTTCATATAGAACTAAGCATGCTGAATTTAGTTCTTTATTCCAGGCATTCTAACAAACCTTATTACTCTGAATAGTTTTTACAGATCCAATTGAGTGATTCAGTTTAAAAAACAAATTCCCTAATCCCTGACTGTTCAGTACCCAATCTGTTTCAGGAAGATGTTAAGTCTTGCTAAGGTATTCTTGAGCAAAGACTATGCTTAAATACCTGAATACTATAATCACTATCAATAAAAGTCTACATTTCCAAAATATTTTATAAAAGAGCTTTAAACACTATCATTTTTGCTACCAGCTTTAGGAAGGCAAGTACGTATGGGTTTTGGAAACATCAGCAGAATACATACCAAGAACTATGTTTTGTTTGCTTGTTTGTCTCAACCCTGGCATCTCAAGCTCTCACTTCCAGGCCAGTAAATGAAAGGCAAAGCAGAAAAAGTAGCTCAATTTTGAACAGGTTTGACCAGAAAAATTCTATATAGAATAATTTCTCTAAAATCAACTTTGCTTAGATTTGGTAATTCATAATATAGCTTCAAAATTTTCCCTACCAACCTTCTCCGCGAGGTGTTTCCTATCTAAATGGATTATAACAGCATGAGTTCAAGATTGAAATGTAGAGTCTATGCATGACCTCACCTCCAATATTACTATATGCAATCTTTCATCATAGTCTAGTAACACTTTTTTTTTAAAGATTTTATTTTTCCTTCTTCTCCCCAAAGGCCACCAGTACATAGTTGTATATTTTAGTTGTGGGTCCTTCTAGTTGTGGTATGTGGGACACCGCCTCAGAAAGGCTTGATTAGTGGTGCTATGTCCACACCCAGGATTCGAACTAGTGAAACCCTGGGCCCCCGAAGCAGAGCATGACCACTTGGCCACGGGGTCGGCCCCTAGTAACACTTTTAAATGCGTAGACTGTGTGTGTAGTTCAATGAGTTCTATTTATATATACATATATACTTATTTACATATACATATAAATGTACATATCTTGTAACCATCACCCTTATCAAGGTCCAGAACATTCCCATCACACCTACGAAGTTCCTTCCTGCTCTTTTCCAGTCAGTCTAGCCTCCCCCACTCTCCGGCCAGGCTACTACTATTTTTCTTTATTTCTATCAACATATATTAATTTTGTCTGCTCTAGAACTCTATATAAATTAAATCATACGCTACATATTCTCCTGTGTCTGGCTTCTTTTACTCAACATAATGCTTTTGTGATTATCCCTGTTATTGCTTCAGTTGTATGTTACATTGCATGAATGTACCACAGTTTCTTTATCCATTCTCCTGTTGAAGAACACATGAGCTGCTTCCAATTAGTGACCATTAGAAATACAGCCACTGTGACCGTTCCTGTACAACTCTTTTCGTAGACATGGTTTCATTTCTATTGAGTAAACCAAGAGGTGGAGCTGAATCAGAGGGTAACTGTATAAGTAACTGCTAAGTAGTTTCTAATGCGACTGTACCATTTCATACTCTGATTAGCAATGTATAAGAATGCCACTTCCTCTACCTGCTAGCCAACACTTAGAATTATCTCTTTTGAAAAAAATGAGTTTTGTAAGTTCCTCTTCTGCCACACATCCCTTAAAGGTTAACCTTTACAGAGTTTGACTTCCATCCCCTATTTGCTCTCTCAAAAATTGCTGCATGAACATTTCCATTGCTGTGACTTTAATAAGATTTTATAAATAACCACTGACTCATAAAACTATATCTCAGCCTAATCTATTAAATAATTGTCTATATCTAGCCTGATATATTAAATAGTTCACAATTGTCTGTCCTTTTAACTTTATCTTAACAAGTATGAAGAGACATCTCATGGTTTTAGCTTGCATTTTCTTGATGACTAATAATGTTTTTTCTATGCTTATGGGACATTCATATGTCTTCATTTTTGAAAGTTACATTCGAGTCTTTTGTTTATTTTCTTATGATTGAATTGTAAGAGCTTTTTATACATTCTGGATGAAAGCATTTTGTCAAATAAACGTATTTTGAATGCTTTTCCCAGTAGTAGCTTGTCTTTCCATTTCTTGATGGGGTTTTGAAGAGTAGAATTTAAAAATTTTTTTGCATTTCAATTTGTCAATTTTTTGAAGATTACTGTTTCTTGGGTCCTATTAAATCTTTACATACTCCAAAGTAATAAATATATTTTCCTATGTTTTCTTACCGAATTTTTAATGATTTAGCTTTTACATTTAGGTCTGTAACTATTAATTTTTATGTAGAGTATGAAGATAGGGTCAAGGATAAATTTTTTCCGCACAGATACTTAGTTGATGTTACACAGCATCATTTCTTTAAAAGACTAACCTTTTCTCATTGAATTGCCTTGGAACTTACTGAAAATCAGTTGTCCTTACGTTTCTGCATCTGTTTTTGGACTCTATTCTGTCCCATTTAACTGTTTTTTCTGTTTTTGCGTCAATACTACATAGTCTTGATTACTATAACTTTATGTCTTTTGCATTTCCATATATTTTAGAATCAGTTCATCAATTTCTGCCCTGCTCGAGTTTTAATGGGATGGTGTTGAATCTCTAGATCAATTAGGAAAGACTGGGCATCTTAACAATACTGAGTGTTCCAATTCATGAACATGGAATATATTTATTTAGGTCTTTTAAAATTTATCTCTGAAATATGTTATGGTTCTCGGTGAAGAGGTCTTGCAATATTTGTTAAATTTATTTCTAAATATTTTATGTTTTTAAATTTCATTTTCCATTTTTTAGCATATAGAAATGCAATTGATTTTTGTACATTGAACTGGTATGCTATGATCTTGCTAAACACATTTATTAGTTTCCATAGTTGCTTTGTAGATTCTATATCATTTTCTATCTTTAAAAAAGGAATGTTTTCTGGAAATAGAAATAATTTCATTTGTTTGTATTTAATCTATAAGTTTTTAATTATTTTTCTTACCTTTTGCACTGACTAGGGTATCCAGTGTAATGGTGATTAGAAGGAATAAAAGTGGACACACTTGCATTGTTCCTGATATTGGAGAGACAGCATTCATTATTTCACAATTAAGTATCATGTCAGCTGTACATTTCCCATAAATTACCTTTATCAGATTGTGCAAATTCCCTTTTATTCCTAGATGGGTGAGAATTTCTATCATGAATCTTTATCATGACTTTTGTCAAATGATTTCACTGCATTTACTGAAATGACAATATGAATTTTCCCTTTGAGTTGGTTAATGTGGTGAATCACATTGTTTAATTTTTTAATGTTTAATCAACCTTTCACTCCTGGAAAAAAAACACCAATTTGTTGTAATGCAGTATCTTTTAAGATATTGCTGGATTCAATTCACTAATATTTCATGAATGATTTTTACCTGTGTTCATGAATGCTATAAGGAATTTTCTTTTCTTATAATGTCCTTGGCAACTTTAATATTGGAGTTTTGCTG